TAGATCATTCAAGTGTTTCCGGGAAGTTGAAGACTTGGTAATCCTCACCGGGCTGTGGCCGCCGCTCGAACACAAGCGCATTCCACCATTGCTTGTGTCAACATTTGCAGTTGAAAATATGGCGTTGCTTATCCCAGTACAACGAAAATAAACATCTCTGGTATCAGTGACGCAGCCGCCGCCGCCTCCGCTTAACGGTACATTCCAATCAATGCCCGGTGTGTATACACCATACAACACCTGGTGTATTTATACACCATACAACACCTGGTGTATATACACCATACAACACCTGGTGTATATACACCATGCAACGCCTGGTGTACTGGATCCTAGCGGCCCACCTAAACGCTGAGTACCTCAACCTGGAACTAACTGATCATATTTATTCATGTTCGTAGTAATATTTAGAACGGCTGAATACAAGGTGAACTGCTTGTTCAGTGTTTTGTTTATTTCGAACAGGATAGAGTGGGCTGCGTTGCCCCCGGGTCCCGCGGTGACCCGAGGGTGATTAATGTCAAATATACTGACTTAGGTAAACATTCTGGAGTCCGTATCATCACTATTAATATTGGCGAGGCTGAGAACGGTTGGGCGTAAGTGTTAGATAACGTTGTTTATCTTCTGTCAGCGGTGAGCGGAAGTAATACCGAGTCGATAGATGTTTGTGTATTTGTGAATAGTGTCTATGATTGGAGACTAAGGTAAGGCATGATTGGTGACTATGGAAAGGCATGATTGGAGACTAAGGTAAGGCATGATTGGTGACTATGGAAAGGCATGATTGGAGACTACGGTAAGGCATGATTGGTGACTAAGGTAAGGCATGATTGGAGACTAAGGTAAGGCATGATTGGAGACTAAGGTAAGGCATGATTGGAGACTAAGGTAAGGCATGATTGGAGACTAAGGTAAGGCATGATTGGAGACTAAGGTAATGCATGATTGGAGACTAAGGTAAGGCATGATTGGAGACTAAGGTAAGGCATGATTGGAGACTAAGGTAAGGCATGATTGGAGACTAAGGTAAGGCATGATTGGAGACTAAGGTAAGGCATGATTGGAGACTAAGGTAAGGCATGTTTGGAGACTAACGTAAATCGGTGCAGAGATAGACGCGAGAGAAAGCATTTGCGGATAAGAAAATCATATATTCAAGGGTTGCTGTATAAATGTACATGTTAATCAAATAAATCGTAAAAAAATATAAATGGACGGAAAAGAAGTGGGTTTAAAGAAGCAGATGAAGAAGGTTTTGGACGTGTGTGTGTGTGTGTGTGTGTGTGTGTGTGTGTGTGTGTGTGTGTGTGTGTGTGTGTGTAAAGGGGAGGGGAAGGGAGATTCCATGTGTTCACTATGATTTCCCTGTTAAACCCATATGATATATGGGTTTAACAGGGAAATATATCTTGACCAGAGGATAACACAACATAATTATAGCACAACTAAGTCAGGCTTATAATGCATAACTTATTCATTTAAGATATTCAAGCCATGCAATTGACTGAATTCAAGTCTTGGAAAATGACTATCTGAACCTAATACTGAAAGGCATGTAACTGAATCTTGTTGTATTAGAAGCAGTGAGCAGTGCAACTTGAGCATCAGCCCAAGACTGTATAAATCAGCTTCATATTTGATGTGTGTGTAATATGTAAAGCCGCACTCTCAACATGTTCGTTTGTACCTACAGTCCTCGCCCTTGATTATTGGTTAAAACATGATGGGATTTGGGGTTTGTCTTCTTGTTGTGGTTACTTATACATAACTGAGCCAGGTACGTTTATCTTTATTCTAACATAATATATATATATATATATATATTATATATATATATTATATATATATATATATATATATATATATATATTCATCGTCCCATCAGCCCTCCCCCCCCCCCTCCTTTTCTTGCCACATTGTCTCTAAATCCTCTTCGCCGTTTCCCCCTCACTTCCCCTCCCCATAACTCCTCCTTCCCCCCCATCCCATCACCTTCCATCCTGTTCCTCACCTTCCAGTATTTCACTTTCAATCCTCCTCTAATACCCTCTCCTCCCCCCCCCCCTCCTTCCCTCATCGCCACCCCAACCTGTTCCTACCCCCACCTCCCCACCTCCCCACCTCCCCACCTTTTCTATACCAGCTGCTCCTCTTTCTCTCCCTCTTATTCCAGCTGCTTATAGGTTTCCTTTTCAAACTTGTATCCTCTTCCTACCTGCTCTTTGTCTTCCTTCCCTCTTACTCCTCCACTGACTATCGTCAGCGCCGCCAGGGGTGCCTAATTAACCGGCCAAGAGTCATTATTACTTGTGCAGCCAATTAAGATTTTTGAAATAGCCGATTGGCGTGTCAAATGACGTTGTTGGCGAGGGGCGATCAAGGCAGCGAATACCACCCTTCCGAGGCTACGTTCATTTTCTTAATTAACCTTGAACTATCTGCCATTCCGGTTATCACCTTCCCCCCCCCCCCTGCCCCTCCCCCTACCTTAACCTCTGCTGTGCCAGACAGTCGCGTCTCAAGAGGCAGGGAGCTGTCTGTCTGTCGCTGTCTGTGAGTCTGTCAATCTGTCTTCTTGAATATTTGTACATTTTCCTCGTTCTATCTCAAACTCTCTCTCTCTCTCTCATTTTCTATCACTATCTTCTCTTTCTCACTCTTTATTGCCTTCTCTCTCACATTCTCATCTCTCAGACACTCGCACACACGCGCATATTAGAATGTCTTAAAGTGGCTTGAGGCCAGTCGCTTAGTGCTAGATTCAAACAATTTTTTTTACATGAATTGCTGTTGGGTATGTGCCCATCCTGAGCAAGTCGAAGTTGGCATCATTGCAGTAAGTGACACTTGACATTCCAAATCAAACCCCCATGACAAATCTTGGTATTCGCATTTGACGCAAGTCTTGGTTTTTATTACTATATCATAAAATATTGTGCAGTGATCAAACCAAAATAAGAAAAACTAAAAAATCCAGTCCTTAACCTTTAAAAGTCAGATATGCCAAGATCATTGGTGATCTCGAACCCTTTCCATTCATCGGACTGGGTACCTCCATGCTCCCCCTCGACCTGCTGCATCACATGTCCTGAACGTGTACACGCACCCCCCCCCCCTTTCCACCAGAGAGAGACACACACACACACACACACACACACACACACACACACACACACACACACACACACACACACACACACACACAGGGGGGCCTCGTAGCCTGGTGGATAGCGCGCAGGATTCGTAATTCTATGGCGCGGGTTCGATTCCCGCACGAGGCAGAAACAAATGGGCAAAGTTTCTTTCACCCTGAATGCCCCTGTTACCTAGCAGTAAATAGGTACCTGGGAGTTAGTCAGCTGTCACGGGCTGCTTCCTGGGGGTGTGTGTGTGTGGTGTGGGGAAAAAAAAGAAGTAGTTAGTAAACAGTTGATTGACAGTTGAGAGGCGGGCCGAAAGAGCAGAGCTCAACCCCCGCAAAGCACAGCTAGGTGAATACACACACACACACACACACACACAAAGACCAGCAGTAGGAGACAGACTCAGAGACTCGGAGAGACATAAATACAAAGAGAGAGAGAGAGAGAGAGAGAGAGAGAGAGAGAGAGAGAGAGAGAGAGAGAGAGAGAGAGAGAGAGAGAGAGAGAGAGAGAGAAAGGGGGGAGAGAGAGAGAGAGAGAGAGAGAGAGAGAGAGAGAGGAGAGAGAGAGAGAGAGAGAGAGAGAGAGAGAGAGAGAGAGAGAGAGAGAGAGAGAGAGAGAGAGAAAATGGCGACATGCAGTATGATTCCGTGCAAGTTCCCATTTAATATCGATATTTCTCACCATTTTAATTGATTGTGTTTAGTGGAACGATGCCTGGTTGACCCGGGCACCACCGGATACCTCAGCCAGTGTGTGTATATATATATATATATATATATATATATATATATATATAAGGCTGCAACTACAGTAAACTTAACGGAGGAGAGAGGGTGTTGATCCCAGGCTAAGCTACCCTGACTGTGACGTCGTCACGTGACCAGCAGCCGTTCCCTTTGACCAGTGTACGAATTATCTTGTCCAAATTTAATTGACCAAGCAGACATGTTGAAATGTGGATCTGATGAAATAATGTTTGATTACACAATTCGTCTTTTGACATATTCGCTGGGGTTAAGACTTAGTTTGTAATGATCAGAAATTAGAAAAAAATGATCAAATGGTCATTTGATCTTCCTGGTGCACTTTAGGCTCGTAGCGTATCTACTTTCCATTACAGTAAGATACGCTAGGTATCTTAGAAATTTATAATACTTATACTTAATTTATAATTATAAGAATTATGTATTAGAATTTATATTATTCTATAAATTCTAATACTTATCGTAGACAGTATTAGAAATTTAATTGACACTCATCATCGTCTATTTGGAACTTTTTTGTGACCAAATAGTTTGGTAAAGGAAAGAGGGTGCCTGACAGCTGAGTGGACAGCGCTCGGGATTCGTAGTCCTGACATTCCGGGTTCGATCCCCGCTGGAGGCGGAAAAAAATGGGCAGAGTTTCTTCCACCCTGATGCACCTGTTCACCTAGCAATACATAGGCACCAGGGAGTTACACTTCTTCCTGGGGGGTGTATAACAAAAAGGAGGCCTGGTCGAAGACCGGGCCGCGGGGGAGTTAAGCCCCGAAATCATCTCAAGATAAGAAGGAGAGATGGGAAGGAAAGGGGAAAAATGCTGTTAGTTTAGGATGGAGAATGAGAATAATGAGAGAGGACAGGCTTCGCGGGCTTACCACTATGTGTGTATATGGGTTTACGCGTGTTGGTGCTGCCGTTGTGTGAGTTTAATGGTGGCTTTGCGCATCGGGTTACGCCTGCCTATAACTCACAACAAGAAGGAATCACAACCACAACTACCTCTGAAGGCAGATCACTTGCATTAAACTAAAAATTCAGCCCTTACATATTTAACACTGATTTATGTGCTGTGATCTAGATGATTATTTTAGTCGCCTGTATGGTACGAATTACAAGCACCATCTTGGGTCACACCATCTTGGGTCACACCATCTTGGGTCACACCATCTTGGGTCTCACTAACTTGGGTCACACCATCTAGGGTCACACCATCTTGGGTCACACCATCTTGGGTCTCACTAACTTGGGTCACACCATCTTGGGTCACACCATCTAGGGTCACACCATCTTGGGTCACACCATCTAGGGTCACACCATCTTGGGTCTCACCATCTTGGGTCACACCATCTTGGGTCACACCATCTTGGGTCTCACTAACTTGGGTCACACCATCTTGGCTCACACCATCTTGGGTCACACCATCTTGGGTCACACCATCTTGGGTCTCACTAACTTGGGTCACACCATCTTGGGTCACACCATCTTGGGTCACACCATCTTGGGTCTCACCATCTTGGGTCACACCATCTTGGGTCACACCATCTTGGGTCTCACTAACTTGGGTCACACCATCTTGGGTCACACCATCTTGGGTCACACCATCTTGGGTCTCACCATCTTGGGTCACACCATCTTGGGTCTCACTAACTTGGGTCACACCATCTTGGGTCACACCATCTTGGGTCACACCATCTTGGGTCTCACTAACTTGGGTCACACCATCTTGGGTCACACCATCTTGGGTCTCACTAACTTGGGTCACACCATCTTGGGTCACACCATCTTGGGTCACACCATCTTGGGTCACACCATCTTGGGTCTCACCATCTTGGGTCACACCATCTTGGGTCTCACTAACTTGGGTCACACCATCTTGGGTCACACCATCTTGGGTCTCACCATCGTGGGTCACACCATCTTGGGTCTCACCATCTTGGGTCACACCATCTTCGGTCACACCAACTTGGGTCACACCATCTTGGGTCACACCATCGTGGGTCTCACCATCGTGGGTCACACCATCTTGGGTCTCACCATCTTGGGTCCCAACAGCATCAAGACTCCTGGTGTAGCGGAGGTGAGCGAGGTGCTCTTGTGCAGAACCGAACAGCTTCGAGTCCACGACTCTGATGAAGCATTTAGATAAAATACTTTAAATGTAAATATTATATCTGGTGATGATAGAAATATGTTGTAAATGAACTGTAAATAACAAAACTCAGCACCTAAGACAGTAGTGTATATTCAGTATACTTCTCCAGTATACTGTCATGTGTCACTGTGTATAGAAGGTTAGCATAGGTTTTCTTCTCTTCAGTATTTCATCTCATAATTTTGTATACTATATATACTATACTGTGTAAATATATTATACAATATAGTATAGCAGTTTGATTTCATTCTGATATGACATTCTAATTATTTTTTTTTCAATTAATGTAAGGAGTGTATATAATGCAATAGAATAACAATAATATTAATACAAATATAAAATCATAAGAACTTATTGGAAAATTTTAATATTTCGGGAATAAAGTATAAATTAAATCGCTACTGAAGTGCGCTTGGTAACGCTGAAGATTGTGAAGAACTTATGGGAAATGAAAAGTTCACTTACGAGAGTAAGAATGTGACATTAGGTGTTGGTTAGGTGTAAGTAACATGATTTACTACAGTGCCACCCATTTCCACCACCGGTGCCACCCATTTCCACCACCGGTGCCACCCATTTCCACCACCGGTGCCACCCATTTCCACCACCGGTGCCACCCATTTCCACCGCCGGTGCCACCCATTTCCACCACCGGTGCCACCCATTTCCACCACCGGTGCCACCCATTTCCACCGCCGGTGCCTCCCATTTCCACCACCGGTGCCACCCATTTCCACCACCGGTGCCTCCCATTTCCACCACCGGTGCCACCCATTTCCACCGCCGGTGCCTCCCATTTCCACCACCGGTGCCACCCATTTCCACCGCCGGTGCCACCCATTTCCACCACCGGTGCCACCCATTTCCACCACCGGTGCTACCAAGTTCCAACCTAATGCCATCTCACTGAGTGACAGTTTCACCCTAGTGTCACCTCAGTGTCACCCCAACATCACCCCAGTGTCACATGACAGCGTCACCCGTGTCACCACCCCAACGTCAGCCCAGTGTCACCCTATTATCACCCCAGTATCACCCCCGTGTCACCCCAGTGTCACCCCGGTGTCACCCCGGTGTCACCCCGGCGTCACCGCATTATCACCCCCGTGTCACCCCGGTGTTCACGGACCGCCTCCCAACATTGTGTTCCTCCCCCACGTCAACTGTACGACATAAATTAGAAGGTTAATGTAGGCGGCAGCAATTAAAACCCCCCGGGGGGGGGAGTATCTGTGGTGGCGCACATTAATATAACTTGACTCCCTGCCAAGTGAGGGAATGCCAGGCTGCCCCTTGAGCGGCCCTTGAGGTGGCGCTTGTATTTGTGCGGTGTGACGGAGACCCAGAAAAGAATAGGAAGGGGGGGGGGGTATAAAGGAAAGGAAGAGGAGAGGAAGCAAGGAAGGAGAAGATGTTGAATTGGGAAAGATATGCGAAAGGAAACAGAAGGAAGTGAAGAGGACGGAAGAGGAAGGGAAGGGACGCGTAAGGGAGAGAGAGGGAGGGAGGTGCAGGGACAGAGAGAGAGAGAGAGAGAGAGAGAGAGAGAGAGAGAGAGGGGAATATCAAGGCCATCATTAAACTTTTGTTCCTGCTGCTTTGATGAAGTTCTTGAACGAGAGTCCCTTTTAGCGTCTCCCTAATGCCTGCCTTACCACGGCACCTCACCCCTCTTTGCCCACCTCTTCTGCACCCTTTGTTACCTCAACTTCACCCTTTGCCACCTCTTGGACCCTCTAGCTGCACCTTTCTTCCTACACTGCTACCTACAAGAGTCTTGTGATAATCTACCTCCCCCCCCCCCCCGTTAATCTCATCTTACCCCTCCCCCCGAAAAAACTGCCACTCCCTCCCTCCCCAATCGTCTTCACTCCTTCTCTACTCCACTTTTCCTGCATTCTTCCCCCATTCTTCTCCCCCTCCCCCCTTCCTTCCCCTCTATTCTCGTCTCCCCTCTTCCTCCGCCCGTAAAGGTGGATGCACATTGTCTCGGCATCGCTGTCAGCGCTGTCCATTAACAACTACTGGTATCTAAATCACCAATTAATAAAATCCCAGATGAGAAGATGAGGCCACATTGTCAGAGATGTTGACGGCTGGCCAAGCCGCGCTACGCTCCTGCGTCGAGGAATGACTCAAATACCCATCGTGGCCGAGAACTTGCTGCTAACTCACCGTCTTGAAGATAATTGTAAACACCTGAGAACTAATTACAGGAGACAGCGGCATCGTGGGCTCTGAAATATATGCACTAACGAGACTCCTTGTAAGCGGCGTTCGTAATAAAGGTGTTTCGGAGTTGTTGACACCTGGCATTGACGTATTGGTGAGTGGTATTGTAATAATCAAGGCGAGGCTCTTCTTACAGGAGTGGAGCGCCTACTTTCTCTTCCCAACGGGGTTTAAATATTTCTTGTTCATAAATTAGCTTACATGGGCGGTCGGGGCTATATTAAGATGGGTGTTTTTCGGTCGAGGTTCTATAAGAGTGGCATTCTTAGAGCCCCCTGGTGTTTACTGCCTTCTCTACACCGTCGGGGTGACTCTAACACTATTGCCCGTGTTTATTGTGTTCAGTAAGATGCTCTTCGTTCAGCTGTGCAGAACTTTGTCATTACCCAGTTTGGTGTTGATGACGAGTACTGCTGAGGATTGGCAGTGATTGGTGGGTGTCAGGTTCGAGTCTCTGAGGACTTGCAGTGTGTTAATGTATATTGGATTCTCTACAGGCAAAAGAATCAATCATTTTCTTTATATCAGCCCTGAAAACCCACAATGCTTTCATATATTTAATATTTCACTAACTGCAAATTGTGCAATACACACACACACACACACACACACACACACACACACACACACACACACACACACACACACACACACACACACACACACACACACACACACACATATATATATATATATATATATATATATATATATATATATATATATATATATTAGTATATTTTGGTAGCAGTCTTTCCTGTAGACATATATTATTAAATATGACCGAAAAAGTAAGATTAATAATTCTAACCAACCACACGAATTTTCTCCATCTTTCTTACATTTATTTTCACTGTTGATGGTAATTCAAAGAATTACCATTACAAAGAATTTGGAGAATTGATCTTTGAATTACCATCAACAGTGAAAAGAAATGTAAGAAAGATAGAGAAAATTCGTGTTAGAATTATTAATCTTACTTTTTCGGTCATATTTAATAATATATATATATATATATATATATATATATATATATATATATATATATATATATATATATATAGTATATATATATATATATATATATATATATATATATATATATATATATATATATATATATATATATATATATATATAATATTTTTTTCAAACCTAAAAGGGATACCACCTCTGTTGCAAGTGTAGGGACCCATAGCCTTAGAGAAGAAAATATGGAGTACTCAGAAAAGACCTTGTGGATCCTCACTGAACACTTTGATATATATATATATATATATATATATATATATATATATATATATATATATATATATATATATATATATATTACATATTATTGAATGTGACCCAAAGAGTGAAATCAATGGTTCTAACGTGAATCTTTTCTATTTTCCTTTCATTTATCTTCACTTGAGAAAAAATTAACACTACAAAGTTCATGTTTAGAGTTTGATTTAGCTTGACGGTAAGAGATGTGTTTCGTTAACTCTTGTTAACATTGTCAAAGGAAGAGTTCAAACGATTACAAAGATTCTTGCTGTGTGATGCATTCCGGGGGGAAACATCTCACTTATAAGTCCATTGCATCTTGTCAATCTCTTGTTTGCTTGATGGCTGGGACAGAATGTTGAATGTTCCATTGTGTTCTGGAATTTGGCAGAGCGTAATTGTGCATCCTTGCTGCTTGCGCATTCACAAGCAGCAAGGATGCACAATTATCGTCAGAAATATCCTCAGACACAACACTAAAATAATCGACAGATACAGCAATAACAGAAGACTGGGGCCTGATTCACGAAAGAACTTGCGCAAGCACTTACGAACCTGTCCATCTTTTCTCAATCTTTGGCGGCTTAAAGAACAAATCCATAAGGGCCGTGACGAGGATTCGAACCTTCATCCGGGAGCATGTATGTGTGTTTTGGCGGCTTTGTTTCCAATTATTAAACAGTTAATGAGCTCCGAAGCACCAGGAGGCTGTTTATAACAATAATAACAGTTGAATGGGAAGTTTTCATGCTTGTAAACTGTTTAATAAATGTAACCAAAGCCATCAAAGATTGAGGAAAGATGTACACCTTCGTAAGTGCTTGCGTAAGTGCTTTCGTGAATCTGGCCCCTGGAGATCGGCGAGGCATTATGCACCTAGCAAACCTAACCATGTACCAATCCCCAAGTAGCACCAAATTAGCAATTATTATGTGCACAACAATTATGTTCACAACTAGCAAAAACTCTCTGATATGCATTGTCTTGGTCACAGTTCTGTAATTCGCTTTTTTATCGGTTCCAGGTAAGAGCGAGAGGCGTCTGCGACAGGTAAGGCCGCCATCTCGCGGACAGAAAGAGAGTGTGTCTGTGTATTCACTCAAGTTGTGCTTGCAGGGGTCGAGTACCTGCTAGTGAGAAGTAGATGGCCTTGCGACCATCAGTAGTTCAATCCAATGGTTCTGTTCCACTCCCTTTCCTATTAAATTTACATTTAAAACTGTTTACGAAAATTGCCTTCGACAACTTCCTCATCTATAGTTCGTTCCACTCATTTACGACTCTTAAGACTGTGAGTGATACAGTGATAAGCGTGTGTGTGATACATCTGCATTTGTGCAACAACCCTAGAGCATATAAAGGGATGTACAGTGTGTGTCAAGAACTAGCTACCCTAGACTATATGAAGGGGAGTACAGTGTGTGTCAAGAACTAGCTACCCTAGACTATATGAAGGGGAGTACAGTGTGT